TTAAATTTCAATAAACTGTAGAAGTAGTTTTGCTTTGATTATTGCTCTTTGTTCTCTGTTTTATTAAATCTTTTGGAAAAACAGTCTAATCAAACAGGTTGATGAAAGAGTAAATAAAATACTGAGGAACGGGAACTACAACTACTAAAAGAAATATCACTCTGCTGCTTTTGCGTAAAGCTTTTTATAAAGCAGACAGCTAGTATGTGTTAAAGCCTGAATGTAAATCCAGATCTTTCTGTCTCCTGAACTTCTCAGTCACAAAAATTTCAATATAACTAATTGATGGCATGTGGAGAAAGAAATCAATAAAAAATTTTAATGCATTATAATAAATGAGATATTATTTTTGCCTATCAAATAAGCTAAGTTTTCTGAACTTGGTAATACTTAAATATCAAAAGCCCATATATGGCTGTAGCTATAACTCAGTATATTGCAGCCCTTTTAGAAAAGTCATACTACATAATCCTATAAATTATTCATGGCCACAGATGGAAAGGAAATCGTCCAAAATGTTCATTTGTTCAGAGCAGATTTGTTATAAAACAAAATAATTTCTTTACAATTTTTCTACATTTAACCCCTTCCCCAACAATTTTTTTGTTAAAAACGTTTCTTTTTCAGACTAATTTTTTTATTTTGGTTCTATATAGTATTTTTGATGCTGGTTATGAAAACAGTTTGTAATTATTTTTTCTTCCCATTTTTGTGGTTAAGAATAGTATTTCCTCAGAAAGTTTCTAGATGAAATTATTTAGAATGGTACGTATGTAGCTGGTTTTTGAAGGTAAAGTTTTAGACGAGTATAGTCGTCGACGACTGAAAAAAGAACATTTTGTGAAAACGTGTATACACGTTTCTGCCGGGGAAGGGTTAACAAGTTATTTTTATAACTAGGGAGAATATTTCTGTCCTTATCTGGTAGTTTGACATTAGGGAAATAATTCTAAATACAGAATAAAGGTTATCCAAAAAATATTCCACAATTTTATTTTTAGTAGTGAAAAACTTGAAACAAGTTAAATGTGCAGTCAAAGAGAATGTGCAAAGTAAGTGGTGATAATTCTAAGGGAAATATGTAAGATTAAAGAGATAGCATAGAAATGAAGAAAAAAGTTTACAATGTAGTAGGAAAAGCAGAATACAGAATTTTTATATAGTATATAATTATAAATATATGTATTTATTAAGATGTTTTTATTGATTTTAGAGAGGAAGGGAGAGGAATAGAGAGATAGAAACATCGATGACAGAGAAACATTCATTGCCTCCTGCAAACAACCCGGGCATGTGTCCTGACCAGTCAACCTGTAATTTCTTGGTTCACAGGTTGCTGCTCAATGTGCTGGGCACATTTTTTTCCCCTAAAAATATAGCAAAATATCCCTGGCCAGGTGGCTCAGGTGATTGGAATGTCATCTCATGCACCAAAAGGTGTCATGTTTGATTCCTGGTGCCTGTGGGTTACTTTCCAGTTGGGGGGAGGAAGGGGGTGCGTGTGGGAGGCAGCCAACCAGTCAGTATTTCTTTCACACACACTCTCTCTCTCCCTTACCCTCTCCCTGCCTTCCCTCCCTCTCAACCTCCCTCCCTTTCTTTCAAACATATCCTTGGGGAGGATTAAAAAAAACAGACAAACAGTTATTAAAAATACAGCAAAGTAACTGGGAGAAAATCTAATAGTTTTTATCAGCAATTATGTTTGGATATTATGATTCAAGTACTTTTTTTCCTTTGTATTTTTATATACTGAGTGTGGCAAAAGTAGGTTTACAATTTGTATGGAAAATACAATAATCCTATCTAATAATAGACAAACATGGTAATTAACCATACCTCTGGTACGTTTCCCATTGGCTAATCAGGGCGATATGCAAATTAATTGCCAACCAAGGTGGCGGCTGGCAGCCAGGCAGCTGAAGCGAATAGGAGTGCTTGCCTCTCCAGTGACAGAGGAAGCCAATGTTCCCCGCTTGCCACTGCTGGGCTCTGAGCTGAAGTCTAAGAAACAATGTTGCAATTATAGAAGCTTAACAAGCTCCAGAAACATGCTTTCAGCCAGCTTCGGCCTCAGAGCTTAGAGTGGCAGCGGTGGGAAGAA